GCAGACTCAAAACTCATCTGTTTAGCTGTGCATTTATTGAATGAGCACTGTGCAACTGTCCGAACTGATTGCACTATATTTTATGTATAATCATTTTCTATTCTTAACTGTTTTAAATTAATTTTAAATCATCAATTTGAATCATCAATTTAAATCATCAATCAATTTTAAATCATTTTCAAAGTTTTTAAATTCCTTGTTTTATTGTTGTGATTATTTTTTTATTATTCTTTTCTTTTCTTTTATGTAAAGCACTTTGAATTACCATTGTGTATGAAATGTGCTATATAAATAAACTTGCCTTGCCTTACATAAAAGCTTTTTTATTACATAAAATAGCTCTTGTTAGATATATATCAGCATAATATCAAATTTCATGTGCTTAAGTCCATATACTGATACCGTGCAGCAGCAACTCAATGAGTATTTTTTAACTACTGTCAATATTACACACTTTTTTAAATTACTTTTTATATAAAACATTTTTCTAAATAAACATATATCAGAATAATATCAGATTTGATGAGCTTGAAGCAGTTCACATTTTCCATAACTGATTATTTCTTTTCTTTTTTGGTAATGTTTCTAAAATAATGTTTGTACAACACGAGCAAGTTGGTTTTCCTGTAGGAGGCGCTTTAGATAAAAACCTAGAAGCGCTACAGAAACTCCCACAGACCGTCGTAGTTATAAAGTGCGGAGAAGTTTGAGAAGACAAATCCTGCATGTCCACAGTTTCCTGGAATATGAAGAAAAGAATGACCTACTTGAAACATCTTTTCATTTTGGTCACACTGCGATGCTTCGTTCAGGGTGAAACAGAGGCAGTACGACCAGCAAAAAGTAAGTGTCTCCCTCAAAGAATATTTTATTGGTAAATGGGCATCACACTTCGTTGCATCATTCTGCCAGCGAAACGATTGTATTGAAAATGCTGTGTGATGAAGTTATATATTACAAGTTTTCAGTGTTTCAACGTCATTAAAATGATTGTCATTGCGTCAAAAGGTGTCTGTTATGTCCTTCATTAATATGTGTAAACAACGATATTATTATTATAGTTCATTTCATTAAGACAACAAAACCCAGTAACCTTATGTTTATTTATTTTTTTCGTCCTTTTTCTCCATAAGGATGCCCTTTTTGTCTCCCCAGCCATGTTTGCTAATAATGTTGTAATTAGTCTCCCTCACTATATTTGTAGGATTCAGTGAACATAACATTTTTATTAAAAAGTAAAGACAAAAGTGTCTCCAAGTTAAATACTATAATCATAACTCCCCATTAAAATGATGCACAATTTAATATATAACATATATAAACTGTCATAATGCCATCATCATCCTCCTCTGAGGATTTTTTATCACTATCTTGTATTTTGTCAGCTTCGTTAGTAAGAGACCCTGTTTTTTTGTAGTAGACAACAGTTTAATGTTATGGTGCCATCTTTTAGTGTCATGACTTTGAGAAAAATGGCTAAATAAACTGTAAAACTGTCAACCTGTTTTATGTATAGAAAAAAAAACATTTATAATTAGTGCTATTCTTGAAAATCAAATGATTATATGTTTGTGTTGCATACAGTGTCAGGTGTTTTCTGCACTTTTAAAGAGAAGACGTATAGGCCAGGAGATAGCTGGCACCCCTATTTGGAGCCCTTTGGATTCATGTTCTGCATGCGCTGTACTTGCACAGAGGTACGTATCCAACTTCCAAGTCTAAAAAACTACTTTTTAAAGTTTTCATATGCATTGTTTTTGTTTTGTTTTTACAGGTGATCATTCATGAATTCCCATAAGATTTAACGTTGCAATTTTCCTATACAGTCATGTAGGTGCATGCACATGTCAGATCCACATACTATGTGTAATATGTCAATGTTTCTGTCTACTTTCATGTGGGTGTACATATAGTCTGGTCATGTGAAATGCAACAGCATCAAATGCCCTGTTCTGCGATGTGAAAATCCAGTGACTAACTCACAGCAGTGTTGCCCTCGTTGTGCAGGTAAAACATCACACTTTTCCAGGTCCCATTGTTATGTAAATTGATATGAATGATTCTAATACGTTCTTATTTGAAATGTCTGATGGCTAACCACAGATGAGCACAGAACTCCTGCTGGTCTGCGGGCACCCATTAAAACCTGTAGGTATAATGGAAGCACTTATCAAACAGGGGAAACATTTGCCAACCATGAGCTTTTCCCATCCCGTCAGTCGAACCAGTGTGTCATGTGTACTTGCTCTGTAAGTATTTATGTCTTTTTTATATCATTATTGTTGCTGTCACCATAGTACATCATTGAACATAGGGATCTAACCTCAAACAGTTTAAAATCCTTTATAATAAAGTGTTTTGAAAGACAGCATCGCAGATCAGGCGTAAATACAGTATTTCTGTAGCTCAAACAGTAGAGGGAAGCGCTAGCAATACAAAACTCTTGGGTTCCATGTGTACCTTGAATACAGTGTAAGGCGTTTTGGATAAAAGGCTATGCTTTTAAAATGAAATATAATGCTCAATAAAACATAATGCACTCACCATATTACCTATTTCCTTAAAATAGTGAATATAGTTTTATAGACACATAGATATTAAAAGAAAATCAAATAATAATGTCTTCTTAAAGAAATGTTTGGTTTTAGGATCTATAAAACCATGCATAATGTACAAAAAGTTATGTCTCCTTCCACAGTTTCATATGTTATTGAGACATTTACTGGCCTGATTTCATATTAATTTAAAAAAAGTAATTTATCCTTGCTTTCCCCCATGTCGTCAGGCACTGATGCTGAGGTGCTGATTTGAATAATTTTGCAATTTCTGATTCTTAATATTTTTTTAAAATCTCATTCTTTTCTGTTAAAGTATGGGAACATATTCTGTGCATTGAAAACCTGTCAGCCCATTACATGCTCCTCACCAGTGTCAGTCCCGGATACTTGCTGCTTAGTGTGCAAAGGTGAGAATATATGTGCAATTTAAAGTATTTTAGGTGTAAATGCTACTGAGATGCATCCAATTTCAAAATTAATATTACAAGCTGTATTCATGTTTTAATTTCACCCCTGATTGTGATGATTAAATAACATTGTCTCGAATAAACAGAAAGTGCAATTGATATCAATTCTGCATCATTTGAGGACGGAGGACAACAACTGAACAGAGGAGTTGTATGTATTTTATTTTTCAGAGGACTCACTGTACTCTTTAACACTGTATCAGATATCTCTAAATTATTAAATGATCAAAACTTTATCAAAACTTGACTTGTTTTGCACAGTCTACTACATGCCTTCTGCGATCTGATTGATAGTTTATATATATAAATATATATATAACTCTAAAAAGTCTTTGAGGTGGCACCATCTTTTTCTGTGAATTTTCTACTGATTTTTTTTTAATGTAAATGTAAGAATAACGTTTATATTATTGGTAATATTTAATGAGGAACACTTACTGGACTGTAACAACTTTACTTATTAGCCGTAAAAAAAAATTTTTTAATGTGAGTATCAAATATAATACATTTATTTGAGGAAACATTTTTAGTATGTCAGGTTTTACAGGGTTGTTTTATTGTTTCATTCATGCTACTCTATATATTAGTCCAGAGTTACAACATTTGTTGTTATGTGTCCTGAAACACAAGAGGCATTCTGTGGATCAGTGTGCTGCGGAACAGGTCAGGGGTCGCTCAGTTAGGGCCACGCCGTCGACACTGCGGGGGTCTCCCCGAGGTCTCAACCTACAGACCCTACACCTCAAAGGAGCTTCTGAAACTACTGTTAAAATTCTTCTACAGCGCAAACATCAGAGAGGTAAACTGTAATGCACCACTCTTTCCAAATATCAAGAATTGCTCATCAAAATGCAATGAAGTCATATCCTGTCAAAGTAATGTAGGGTTTCTGACTTTGTCTAAGCTTGTGTGTACAGTGGCAAGACTTATTCTCATGGTGACGTGTGGCACCCGGTGCTGGGGAAGGTCTTGGAGTGCATCCTGTGCACCTGCAGGGACGGCTTTCAAGAATGCAGGCGCATCACGTGTCCCAACCAGTATCCATGCCAACATCCCATAAAGATAGAGGGGAAATGCTGTAAGATTTGTCCAGGTAGGCATATGAGTGATATTATATTTGCAATGACTTAAACTTCATGGTTTATCAGTGTGTTTCATTCAACTTGGTTTCCAGAGCTCAAAGCAGAGAGCAACAGGACGGAGTGTTACATTGCTCAAGACAATAACAGTCTCTTGGTGTATAAAGTTGAACCCCCATCAGCTGCTCAGTCAGAAGATAAAGTACGGATGATTGCCATTGAGAGACAAGGAGCCACGGAAGTAGAGGTGCAAGTCTGGAAAACGGTTGAAGGTGATTGTTTAGGGTGAAAATAGAAGAAAAGATTCTTTCACTTTACCAGATTTCATCCAAATTCTTAGTCACTGTCCTATATTTTATAAATCAATTTGATAAATCTTTGTCAGTTCTCAGCTGCAAGATAAGGTTGTGTATTATAGCACTGGAATGTATTTTTTTTGTAATGTTAAGGTAACAATACGGTTCTTTTTGTTAACATTTGTTAACTAAATGAATCAACATACAACAATGAAAACTACTTCTGAAGCATTTATGAATCTTAGTTAATGTTAATTTCAACATTTCTTAATAGTTGTTTAAAATCAAAAGTTGCATCTGTTAATATTATTGAACACACCTGAGCTAACATAAACTAACAATGAACAGTTGTGTTTTTATTAACTAATAAGAATACAGATGAATAAATACTGTAACATATGTAATGGTAATTGTTAATGCTAGTTAATGCATGAAGTAGCATTAACAAATGTGACTCTATTGTAAAGTTTGACCTTGTTTTTTTTTTACCTCAAAACTGTCTTCTAATCTTTGCAGGTGTTTTGCATCTGATGGAGACAGGTGACGTTCAGAAGAAAGACCTCATAGACCATCCGGAAAATTACATTTTGCTGACTACATTAGATGAGGGTATGTTTCATTCTTTTCATTAAGTTTTGCATTAGTTTAGAATTATTGCTTTATGAGACACAGAAGGTCATACAATACACAGTACCACATATTTAAACATTGAGCTGTGTATTTTGTTAAAATTGAGTTTGATTTAAAAAACTTTTTTGTTTTTGGTGAGTAAAAGTTAAACATATTCCTCTCCTTATATGTCAACCTATATGATTTAAAACAGCCCTGAAAACACAGAGTCTAGGGACGAAACTAAATATTTGAGCTTAGAGTATTTACAGCTGCCAGGAAATATGAGAAGTTGAAGGAGACCAAAGGAAATTGAACATGGCTAACATGAAAAGTAAAGAAAGGTTTATGATTTCCTTTTTACAAATTTTCTGTCTAACTATTTCAGCAAGTCACTCTTAATGCATTTTGTGTGCATTGGCTGTCTTTCAGCTTAAATGCTGAATTGCCAGACAGACTAAGGCCTGTTTGACATGGCACGCTAAAGCAATCCGTATGGTTTTTACCATATGTGTTACAGTATTCGCAGAAATCACTTTTTTTAATATATATAGAGATGCAATGCTATGGAAGTCCGTTTCCGATCCAGGATAAAAAATAAAAAAGATAATTACAGCTGTTTTATATCTCCCAATCTGACTTTTTCTGTGACGATTATGAGACATATGACATATTTTTCCTTGAATTTCTGAGTTTATATCTCGCATTTCTGTTTTTTTTTTCTGCCACAGATTAAAATTGGTAATTGTGACTCAACTATTATTTTTTTCTTATAATTGCGAGTTTATATCTAGCAGTTCTGACTTTATATCACGCAATTTTCTCAGAATTGTGAAAAAAGTCTTTTTTTAATGTTTTGATCCCATGGCAGAAACAAGCTTCCATACAATTCAGATGCAATTAACTTTCAAAAACCCTAATGCATTTATGCTTCGCTATGAAACAGGCCTTTGCAGTAAAACTTCTGCATGCAACTTAATTTTTCCCAGTTTGGATTGTCCTTTCCTTTTTATGTTTGCACAGACGCTTGGAGAAAGTTCAAAGAAGAAGAGGACAAGCAGAACTCGAGTAAGATTAGGCGCTGTGAAGACGGGATCAAGGAAGTGGTGAAGTACTTAAACCCTGAACAGCTGGACAGTCTTTGCACTTCTTAGTCTCCTCCCCACTCTAACACTGTGCCATCCCAGTCTGACACTAATTTTATTACCAGAAGAACACACACACCCACACTCACACAATGTGCATGTAGTACAAAACCAGATGCTGGCAGCAGGTAGTCTAAAGATCTTGTTTATTACTATGAGTCAGTTTAGCGCAAGTCTTTATGAGTTTGACATCCCAGAATTCTTTCTGAGACCTTGTTTTTTTTTCCAGAGGCCTTGAGGTCAGTCCTTTTTCTTGCATTGTTGAAAAATGCATGGTTGATGAGAAAAGTGAGTGAATATATGCTATTTGGCTGGAATTATAAGGAAGTACGAGTTTAAACAATCATCATCATCATCATTAAAGGAAATGATGTATGTAATTTTAGCAAGCATCCACTGTATGTACATAAGAGGAAAAACAAAGGATGATGTAGACAGCTTATTGGCCGGAATGCTTTTATAAAGTTGACGTAGGCCACATTTTTTTTCCCACTGTTCTTAATTATACGCTACTCATATATGTAGCATGGATCAGATAAAAATACACTATTTATTGTAAAGTCAAAGCAGCCAACATCTTTAATTCAATAGAATATTTTTCTGCCTATCTTCTATGCAGAAAATTGTAATGTATGTAGCGTGTGTATTGATCTGATTATGTATAACTCGTATGCACTTAAAATGATGAGAAATATATTGGGCTGGTGTCCTGACTAACTAATATAAAATTGTATTGAAAGATTTCTTTTATAGACTGTTCTTATGTTCTTGTTTTCAAACGTTATTTTGATATGGAAGCCTGTTTCTGCCCAAAAAAAATCAAAATAAAATAAATAAATAAAAAAGGTAATTGCAAATTTTTATCTAATAATAGGTTGTTTGTACATGACGTAATTGCTGTGGCGCGAAATGCATCTGGAGGGCAATGAGTGATTTTTCTTTCTAGGAATCGCTAGCAGAAACTTGTTTGCTAAACGCCACATTGTAAATAAGATATTATAGTTGCAGTTTAGAGAGCTTCATTGTTTATAATGGAACATTGTGAGTGACAGCTATGGAAGCGCCATTGGCTCGCTTTCTAGGCTATAATCAATTCAGAATTTGAATAAAAGTTTTTTTTTCATACTGCTGTCAGGACCAACGGCCACATACACTGTACATGCAGCAAAGTTTCAGGAGTGAAATATAACCCGCATCCCTCATATAAATGTGGGATTCACTTTCGAAATAGCCGGTTTGCAAGCAGGGTTAGTTGCTTAACCTATATCCACCACCTTGATGGCAGGCAAATATTTCAATTTAGTTGAAAAAATCGCTCCTCTTCATAACATAAAGATCCGGTCCAACATATGTTGTGATTTTCTGTTTATAACTTTCTCTTGTAATAGTGTCTAAACCATTACCTTTCCTCCATTTCATCTATTCTGCTTTTCACTTCCTGCCCTCCATCTGAATTTCGTGTGTCATCAGAATCACGTGATTACAAACAAGCTAACTTTTTTCTCTGAATTCTGAGATTACGTCTCGAAATTCTGTATTTTTTTCACCACCGAATAAAAAAAAAAAAAAGGTAATTGTGAATTTTATCTCACAGTTCTGACTTCTTCTCAGAGTTTAAACCTTGTAATTGCAAATTATAAAATCAGCTGCGAGTTAACATTGCACAATTGAAAGATTACGTGTTTATATCTTGCAATTCTGAGTTTACATTCTGAGAGAAAAAAAGTAAGAATTGTGAGATATGAAGTCATAAGTACCTTTTTCATTTTTTTATTCTGTGGCAGAAATGGGCTTCCATATTATGGCCTAATGCAATAATTATAATAGGAAATCTTTTTTTTTTTTTGATAATGCTGGGTATTAGGTATCAAACATCCATGTACTAAACAAGTCATTAGTTCACATGATCATTGATACTGATGAGAAACTTTTCATAATGTTGTAAATGAGAAGCAGACATGATGGGATGTTTACTTTGAGCTGGAACGAATAATCCGTTGCGACATAAATGAGAAGAAACCTGTTGCAGCCCGTCATCATGACGGGCTCCTGACATCGTTTGTTCTTCCGTCGTGTTAATCACAATGAACCGAGACGGGCCGTCGAACCCAGATTGGGGCAGTTCAGGGAGTTGTGACTAATATCCCCTCTCTCTAGATCCAAAAAGCCCACTTTCCTCTTCTATCACAATGAGTCATTGTGCTGGCCGCACACAAAGTGCCAGACGGTGCTGTTCATCTCTCACTGAAGGCCTGACAAAATATTTTGAAACAGAAGCCCCTCAGTTGCAGACCTTAATAGTCACACAATGAAGCTGTGAATTATTTCCGCTGGCTGTTGGATCTAACAGTTTCTGGCAATTTGTTCTCTTTGAACGGCTTTGGAGGGAGACAAAGGGGATTTTACTGTGTGCTCCTATTTCATTTTCTCTCTTTGTGTATGTTAGTTTAAGGGGATGGTCGGACATCCCGTTTGATCCGTACGCAGGCCATCGTTTCACAAAAAGAGCCCTTTGTAATGTTGAGAACCTTTCGATTTGTTATGTCCATGTTGATTTGATGGAGTCTGAAATGGTTTCAGCTCGGCGGGGTTCGACGCTTGCGAATTTGATTTTAATCATAGCTCTATTGGCACCTTCACTTTTGGCTAAAGGTTTTGAATTCCCAATAAATAGCTTTCAGCTATGCATGCTTAGTCTTGGCTCTGGCAATCTGAACAGCTGGGGGCAGTCACTGGGTATAAATCAGGTGAATGGGTCAGTTCTCTGTGTGAGTTTTCCTGCTCAACTTTTCTTCCCATTGTTGAATGTAAAAGTGTAAATGGACTTACGTTTTATACCACTGTGATGTTCAGCAGCTATTTGAAAGTGCTATTTGCCTTTTTTTTTTCTTTGATTTATTACTCTTCTCATAGAACATCCTATATGAAGGCAGGTGATAAAGCCAGACAAATATGCAATAGTGGATGAAGTATAAAATATTACCCAAGAAAAATATTACTTAAAGGGATAGTTCACCCAAAAATGAAAATTCTGTCATTAATTACTCGCCTCCATGTCGAAAGTGACCGTGTACCGCCATTATGGAGAGTACCACGATGCATGCATATGCTTTTCTCTGCATGTAAACGACGCATGCGCGTGGTGCTGCCGACGTAGAACATGCTTTGCGCCTTGTTTACGTGCAGAGGAAAGCACGCCCATGCATCGTGGTACTCTCCATAATGGCGGAACACGGTCACTTGGAGGAGAAGAACTGTTGAATAAAGTCGTTATTTTTGTTTTTTGTGCACAAAAAGTATTCTTGTATAGCTTCATAAAATTACGCTTGAACCACTGATGTCACATGGACCATTTTGTTGATGTTCTTGGTACCTTTCTGGGCCTTCAACGTGGTAGGACCCTTGCTGTCTATGGAAGGTCAGAAAGCTCTCGGATTTCATCAAAAATATCTTAATTTGTGTTCTGAAGATCAATGAAGGTCTTATGGGTTTGGAACAACTATCCCTTTACACTTCACCCTTTTGGGTGAACTATCCCTTTACACTTCAGTATCTGAAAATATCAATTTAACTTACTGATAATTCAAGTGTGCAAAAAACAAGATAAAAAATATGGTATTTAAATGAATAAAAATATGTTTGTAAATGTATGGTGACAAATAGTGTATACATATATTTAAAAAATGGAAGTCACATGGGGTAAAGTGTGTTAAGATTTTAACAAGAACTCAACTTGACTCAATTCTTTAATCACATAACAATTGACTTCAAAAATTCAACACCCACTGTGCAAACAAACTAGTTCTATATTATTTAAAAATGCTACAGCAGCAGGACAGATGTGTGAGCATTAATTTGCATTATTTTAATGTTACTTAGTTTTTACCTGTGCTTGCACATTCAGAGTCAGTCATGAACAAGTGAATTGTTACTGGATACTCACTCTGACTGGATCATGAAATCTTAGAGTTGTTGACTGGAGAACTTCTGTGATCAGATCTGTCTAAATGAACCGTTCAAAGCTTTTTTGCAAACTGATTCAACAGGTTAATTAAAAAGAATCAGTTTGTTCCTGAATTATACACTTCGATCTTGTTTTAGAGAGTGTGGTGATTTCCACTGTTCAAAATAATGATATGTTTTTATCAAATGTGGTGAAGAAAGCATAATGTAGTGAAGTAAAAATTTCCCAAAATAAAAATACTCTGATAAAGTATAATTGTGCTGATATAAAAACTGTCCACCACTGTGAATATGTAATGTTTCTGCCTCTGAACTGCTGCTCTGCATGGCGCCTGCAGATTCACAGTCTCTAAGCAACTGAAACAAGATTCAAAGGGAGCTAAACTGGGTTAAGCTAATTAACTCTGATGGATTGGTTAGCTTTCGTAGCTGATTAAGGTGTTCATGTAACCTGTGAATTAATGTGCCATCCAAATACTTCAGAAGGTTTTTTTTTGTACCCCATTTCTCTCTCTGCTTACTTGAGTTGGCCTTGATCATTTCAGCCAATGATCTGAATCATGCTAAGCAAGCACTGAACAGCCTGTCATGAACAATCCAGTCAAGAATTTGCTTTTCCTGATCCCTGCTTGAAATGGTAAGGACACCATTACTGATCAATGACTGTCATCATTATCATTTACTCACCCTTGTGTCATTCCAAACATGTATGTTTTCTTTCTTTTGTAGAATATGAAAGGAAATCGTTTGAAGAATGTCCATGCTGCTCTGTTCCATACAATGAAAGTGTATGGGGACCAGGAACTGTCAAGCTCTAAAAAAAAAATCAACCATAATAAAAATGCACTAAATATATTCTAATTTTGTGTAAGGAACAGACTGAAATCGCTAAAAGAGTTTCATGCCTTGAAAATCTTTCTTGCTCGTGGTCACCATTCACTTTCATTGTATGGAAAAGAGCAGCTTGGATTATGCTATAAATAACTGCTTTAGTGTTTGACAGAAGAAAGGAAGTCATATGGGTTTCAAAAACCATGAGTGAATACATGATGACAGAATTTTCATTTTTGGGTGAACTATTCCTTTATGATTATCCCTTCACTGAGGATAATAAATGCTGCTAAAAGTTCTGCCAAAATTAAAGTATTATGAATATAACAAAAATGTACTTCCAAACAGTACTAATTTAACTGAGAACAGACTACATGGCCTTTGCCACGGAAAACAGTAATTAAGCCACATCAACCCATGATGGATGGTTGGCATATGGCCGGTTAACTAATATGACAGAATGACGAATGATGATGTGAAATGTTTTAGAGATAATCAGGGCTTGTATTCATGCCAAGTTTCACACATGTGCAGTGTTTCAGTGCATTCAGTGACATTTGTAAAGAGATCACAGGTTCTATTTGGTAATCGGAATCAGAAAAATACAAATTTTTGCTTGATTTCAACAAGACAAATCCAGATGTGAGGCACCCCACACCCTAAAAATAACCCCAAAGACATCAAATCCCAGAAAGGTGATGCAGGCTCTGCCTTTTCCAATCATGTTCTGCATATTTTCCTGTTTTGACAAAGAACAGTGGTCCTTCAGCCAGATGCAGTTATATCATCCCGTCAGACGAGTGTGTGTAAAAATCTGCTTTCAATTAATACACAATGATTTATTCTTTAAGAGCTCTGCATGAGAACAGTGAGGGGGATTAGAAAAATAAATCACTGCTCAAAGTTTGAGTTATTGCTGTTTGATGTATTTTGTTGGCGTTGATCTACAAAGTAAGACTCTCATGCCTGCGAGCTCTGCCCGGACTTAAAAGGCTTCTTCAGAGATGCAGATTCTCCGTATTAATTGTTTTACACTTAATGAACTTTTATGAGGGTCTGTAAAAATTTCAAAAGGAACTTAAAAGATCTTGAGTTCAAGTACTTGCTTAATAGGTTATTTCAACCACAAACAGGGTCGATGTACAAAAGGGAAGCGGGAGGAGTCATATGGGTAAATATGTAACTAATTAAAATGTGAATATTCAGTAATGAGTGGATAGTGTTTGTGACGTGAGTTAGGAATCACAGGATAGAAAAATCTTGTAGGCTGAACCTACAAAAGCCCTTCTGATTTTGTCAGATATGTATTTTTACATGAGCAGAAAAGACAGTGGAGCAAAATATGAAGCACTCAAACAATATTTAATGGCTTTGCAGAGTGCCCAAGGCCAGTTTGAATTTAATAATGTGGGTTCACTTGATATATTTTGAAAAGGCCTATTGATTTATTCCACCTGGGCTGAAAAATGCATTCCACTTCTGAGTGGCTATGCAAGAGCAATCTAATTAAAATCGTACGGTGGCCAAAAGTGTTAAATCGCATGGATGGACAGAACAAGATAGGAGGAAGAGAAGAGCTTAAAGGGGTCATATTATGTGATTTTACTTTTTCCTTTCTCTTTGGAGTGTTACAAGCTCTTGGTGCATAAAGAAGATCTGTAATGTTGCAAAGACTAAAGTCTCAAATCCAAAGAGATATTCTTTATAAAATGTAAGACTTGTCCACGCCCTCCTAAAACGCCTCATTTAAACATGCCCCCACATGTCTACGTCACTGTGTGGGAAGATTTTCATAACACCGCCCAAATTTTCACACAAAGAAAGAAGGCGTAACTTTTATTCTCGCCGCTGCCATGTCATGAAGGCGCTGTATGCTTCGTTGTGAAAGCAAAACTACTTTGTGTGGCCTTCCAAAAGAGGACGATATCCGCTTCGTCATGCCTGGAGCTGATCCATGCTGGTCGCTGAGGAAATACA